GCAACATAGTAAAGTAGTTAAGCATGAAGACTGTGGACCATACTGCTGGACTCTACCAGGAGGAGATCTTCACCCAGTTAAGCTTTCTGTGCCTCAATTTCTTATCAGTGAAATGGGAATAACAAAAGCCTAATCCTTACCTTGTGATGATTAAATAAGTAAATACATGCAAATATTTGGAATGGGATCTATTTTGTTATACAAGTGAAGACATTTTAGGTTTATTTTTATTATTCATTACTATAATTACTATTTATAAAACATGCCTCAGAGGCAAAAGATGCCAATCATGTAGTTTCATGAAATGCACAGTCTACTTCTGTGTTGCATTACTGGAATGTTATCTTTATTTTAGGAACTCGTTGAATAACTTGAAAATAAATTTTATCTATAATTTCACAAAAAGAAGGCAAAAGGATTTGCTTACAAATTACTCTTTAAAGAGTTTGATGTAAGTAGTTTTTAAAATCTCAGAAACCACCAGGATACCCTGAATGCATTATATATTTGATTTGCAAGTTAGATAAGGATCTGCAAGGTTACTTAACAGTTACTCTGTTTGAAGAAGGTAATATGCATACTCTAAGCTAGTATACATAATATATACAGTTCTAATGATATGTGACCTAAATACATTGATGTAAGAGAGTTGTTTTGGAATTATTTGTTTATAAGGCTAGTTACTCTCTCTTTCCATCTGTATCTTCTTTTAGAAGCTTAGAGCCTAGTGGATGCATTAGGACCATCCATCTACATTCAACTTACAGGAAAAAAATGGAGCTTGACCAAACCACGGTTTTGACCTAAGAATTACCAAACTGGTATTTGCTCTAGCTTTTGTTTGTTTTGTTTTTAATGATAATGTGGTAAATATATGAGAACAAGCGAGTACTCCAAGCACTTTGCAATTAGTAAAGCATTCTGGGGGAAAGTCCAGGATAGTATTTAATTCTGTGAAAAGAGGGCAATTCATGCTTTAGTTTAATTTTTCACAAATGTGTATTCTCATTCAAATAGATGACTCATATGGGAAGGTGTAGTTAAAGTGTACATAAATTTATCATGTAGAGTACATACTTATATTTTAAAATTGTAAATATAGTGAGTGGTTATTTTTGTTGAATTCTGGTACTTCTTTTCAAAGTAGGTAAAAATCACTCTGATTAAATTATGTTAGTGAGAATAAATGAATTTTGTAGAAATGTATTATATAAATGTTATTCTCATAAAAATCCTTATGCCTACTTTTATGAGTTCAGATATCTATTTTCCTACAGATAAATGTCTGTATATCTGTATGCATTCATTTGTGTATATTAAATACCTGTGTGTGCATTATATATAATATACACATATTATCTTACGGAACTTTAATAGTTATGAGGTCGCCTAGAGCATATAGTGTAGTAGTTCTCTAGAACAGTAGTGCCTAGTCTATATAGCTGGGCCCGAAAAAGCAAAACTCTACAAAATATCTGTTCAAGAGCAAAAACAGTTTTATAATGAATTTTAAAATTGTGCAATATTGTAAGATATCAGGAAAGAAAAATCAAAGAGAACCAAAATCTCCCCAATTCCTTGCCTCTTTTTTATTCTTGTTCATCGTGTGGAAATCCTCTTTCAGATTTGGGTGTTAAACGTGAGGAATATGTAAGAAGGGACCCGCACCTCCCAATCTAATTAGCGGGAGGGTAATTCAAACACATCCAAACAGAAGGCTTTGCACTGCCCTAGCCTGGGCAGGAACAGATTTAGATTTACTGGTAACCAATTAGTTGTCAATTCTTCTACAGGATTGGGTGCCTGAGGACATGCTTCCAAAGGAGTGGGTAGGAAGAGCTTAGTCACGACCTACTCAGGCAGGCTCTCAAACCACAGACAGTTCACTGTGCTCCATCACAGACAGGAGAAAAAAATCAGACTGGATTTATTAGATGTTTGTGGGACAATCCTGGAAGATATTTGGCAGAACTAGGAACACAGTGAAATACCAGTAAAGGTACAGCAATAAAAGTAGAGGTCCACTGCCTGCAATCAGCTTTTTTGATTTCTATTGCCTTTAATGTGATTTGAAGTTTAAATCACAGCTACTGAACTTCAATAAAATTGCAAAGCATTTTGTGGTGAAGAACTAAACATTATGGTTTCTTTATTTTTGATTTAATTTTTTTAATCTTTTAAAAAAATTAATGTTTTCATTTATTTCTGAGAGAGAGAGAGAGAGAGAGACAGCGTGATCAGAGGAGGGTCAGAGAGAGAGGGAGATACAGAATCCAAAGCAGTCTCCAGGCTCTGAGCTGGCTGTCAGCAGAGAGCCTGACATGGGGCTCGAACCCAGGAACCGTGAGATCATGACCTCAGCCGAAGTCGGATGCTTAACCGACTGAGCCACCCAGATGCCCCTTATTTTTTTTAATATTTATTTATTTTTCATAGAGAGAGAGACAGAGTGTGAGTGGGGGAGGAACAGAGAGAGAGGGAGACACAAAATCCCAAGCAGGGTCCAGGCTCTGAGCTGTCAGCAAAGAGCCCTGGCTGGAGCTCACAAACTGCTAGATCATGACCTGAGCCAAAGTCGGATGCTTACTTAACCAACTGAGCCACCCAGGTGCCCCTAAAAATTATGGTTTATAATGAATTGTTGGAATCTAGTTTTTACTGAATCTGTCTCAAGAAAGTGCATACCCAAATCTATAGACAGTTCGAACAGACAGTTAAAAAAATAAACAAATGGTGAAAATCATCCCAAATATCACGAACTTTGTGAAGTTCCATGTCAATGGGTCATATGGCAATGAGATTACAAATTTATGAAGCGTGCTAAAGGGAAAGCCTAACTTTTTTAGAACAAATCATTCCAATAGATACAAATTTTGAGATTAAAAAAAACCCTAAAATCTGTAACTCAGTATTAGAATCCAGGAAAAATCAACTACAGTGGTAAATGTGAAAATAATCTATGAAGATATTTACAAAAATTGTGACATTCATAAAAGAGAAATTTTGTTGGAGCACAGCAATTAAGGTCAGGAAGAAACCACTAGCTGTTCAACTTCCATTATCAAAATATAAACAATTTAGTAGTAATGTAAATGGCAAAGTGATAGAGATCTTAATGAAGATTGACTCCTAGAAATGGAAAATGGGAAAATACAGTAGGAAGTAAAGTGTTCACACCATGTAGAAGACGTTTAGATTCCCTGGTTGCAAGGTTTTAAATGGCAAGCTTTTTATCTTTGTGAATTTCAATTAGACTCTGCAACAGCAAGTCAGGAAGGGAATATTAATGATGGAGGAGAAAGCTGGGGCGTTCCATTCTTCACAGAGCCAGCTACAGAAGAGAGCAAATGTTTGTTTAGGTGGTAGCATATTAAATGCTCATTCAGAAAGTGGTGATTAATAGGTTAAAAAGAACAGCTTGAAATATTTACAATGTAAAGGTTTTACTCTCCTCACATAATCTTCAAAGCAAAGCTAAAATTTACTGTAGATTAGCAGTGCCCGTTGTTAGGAAAACTGCACCATCTAGGAAAAACATCTGAATTTTTGGTTCATAACTAACAAAATTGAAGTGTTGGGCACATATTGACTCTGAATGTAATATGAGAAAAAACATATCAGCATGCTTATCTTTTTCCCCCTTTAAAAGTGTCTAACGTTTATTAACAACTTGAAGAGATAAACACCTGCTCTGCTTTGCCTTAGTAAGATGTAAGCATAACATCCTTATGTGCAGTACAAAAAGGAAAATCTCTCTCTCTTTTGGTTGAAGTTGCACGTTTGGATTTTTATCACCTCAGATAAAATAGAAGAGAAAGGAGGCAGATCCAACACAATGTTTAAAGTGTACTGTAGGACTGGAATTACAACAGGTCCCTTCACCAGCAAAAAGCCCTACAGGGGAAAACCTCAAACCCCGCCACGCTACATCCCCTGCCCGCCCCCTTGCCCCCAAAGAATTGCAGGCGTAGTAGAAGCACAACAGGTACCTTTTTGCTTGGGGTGGTGGTGGTGCGGGGTTGCAGAATGTAAACTTTTTTAGAGCTGTGGATTGAATTTGATCACCTCGTAGAGAGGACGCCTGTTTAAAGACGTTGGGGAAAAGAACTGCTGAGAGTGAGCGGGAGGTCTCCCCAGGTGCATAATCCGCAGACGGACTTTCCTGACCCGCTGGAGGGAGGTCTCCAGCCCTCAGAGCTTTGGGAGGAACCTGGTCTTGACTGCAGGAGTGTGAAGGAATGAGTGGTGTATCAAGAGGGCTCAGGAAATCAAAGAAACTTCCTGCCGTCTGGTTCCTCGCAACACGCGTTGAACTTGCTCCTGCGTGGATGCGCTGACGACTACGTACAGGCTGATTAGTCCCCTCGCCCTCCAGCGGGAGTGATACCTCTTTACCTCTGCTCAGCAGCCACGTCGCTCCAGAGCCAGGGGATGCAGGGGGGCGGGCGGCAGGGCGAGGCCCCCGGGATCTAGGGCCGCGCAGACACACTGCGCTCGCGACTCTGCACCCACACCCGCCGGCAGCCCCCCCGCCCTCCCCCCTCCCGGCCCCCAGGGACCGCGGGGCCTCGGGGGAGCCGTCCCGGGTGGAGCGTGGGCTCCGCTCCTCTTGCGCGGCGTGGGCGCGGGGAGCTGCGCTCAGGGCGCACCGGGGAGCTCGCCGCCGCCCCGGGCTGAGCCGCTGCAGGTGCCCGGCGGGCGGCGGGGCGGTTATCCCGGTTGGGGCGGGGGTGGGGTGGGGGGGTCCCTGTGTGCCGGGGAACCTTGCTAGCCCTCCTCCCGGGCTTGGCTCCTCCTCCTCCAGGCGTGGGGCTCGTGCCCGCCACTGCCGGCGCGCACCGCGCCTCGGCTCGCATCCCCCCCCCCCCGCCCCTGCCAACGCTTCCCCTCCTCCTCTTCCTCCTCCTCCGCCCATCACCGCCACTACGGACGCCTTCGCCTCCGTCTACTCCTCGCGCCGCGGCCGCCGTGCTCCGCGCTCCCTCCGGCTTCCACCAGCCCATCGCTCCCCGCTCGCTCGGCTGCTGCAGTCGCTCCCTCTCCTCTCTCTCACTCGCGCTCTCTCTCGCTCTCCCTCAAGTTTCCCATCTCCTCAGATCTGGGCAAAGGGAGGAAAACACCCGATGCTGCCTGCTGTTTCAGGTAAGGTCGCGCACGTTGGCCCCCGCGGGGACCCCTTCGCGTCCGCCTCTGCCTCCCGCGCCCGCCTCGTCTCCCCCACCCCACTCTCCGGCGCCCCTTGGAAACCGAGGCGGTTCAGCTCGCCTCCTCCTCCCCAGCACATTTAGAAAATAATTTCGATACTCCTCACCAGAAGCGCATCCGCAACTACAATAAGAGCCGAGACGCCCGGCCGCCCGGCCGCCCGGCAGGCTGCACGTTAGCCTGGCTCTTGTACAGTCTGCAACTTTGCACGCTGTGATTGCCGCCGCCTGCCCGCCCGTGCTGGACCCGGGGGCCGCCCGCCCCTGCGCCGAGTGTGGCTCGGCCCCGGAACCGCTGTCCGACGCGTCGTTTCGCCGCGGTCGAGCCGAACCCGGCTGCCCGCGAGACGTGGTCTCCGGCAACTGTGCAGGGGCGGGGAGGGAGCGTCTTTTATTTTATTTCCTATTATTTTAGAAAGGGGTGAAGAAGTGGAGACGCGAGGACTGCCGGTCCCTCTTACGAAAAGAAGAATAATCGAAAAAGTGGGCTGGCTGCCCCTTGCTTTTCCCGTTGGGGTTGCGGGGGTGGTCTTGGTTGAGGGGTTGTGGCACCCCGTGCCCAGCTCCCCTCCCCCTTCACACTCTCCCCTCCGACCCATTCTCTTCGCCAGCTCCTGTGTCAGTTCAGGGTCCCGGGTGTTGTTATTACGTGTCTGTGTGAGCACAAAACAGGGTTTGCTGGCGATGGGGCCGGGGAAGTTACCGGCAGAGCAAAGTCTGGTTATTTGGTCATCTTACTGTCAAGAGGGAAAAAAAGAAAGAAAAGAGAAGACACCCCCCGAAACCCCTTCATCACACCCCACACTCGCTCCGGTGGAATAATTCAATAGCATTAAGTCCATTTCTCACATCCATTGGCATTCTTTTGGGCTATTTGGATGGTAGGACTGACTGTAATTTTAAGTGTATTTTGTTTTTCTTTCATGGCTTTCCAAAGAGCGGCGATGAAGATGAAATTAAACACTTACAACATGCAGTTGATTCTTCTTGTTTTCTTGGTGTGGGACCCAGCCAGGTGAGACACTTATTTATTGTATTTGACTTTTTAGATTCAGGTGTGTTTCTTGAATGCCATCCATCAATGGAGGGCTGGCCTTTGAGAAGCTGAAGTATTTTGAAGAATCAATTCTAATGGGGAAAAAAAAAAGATTGTATCAGGAGATTGAACTATGAAGTGGCAGAGACTATAAAAAGTTCACAGCTTATGGTTCTTAGTGATAAAATAACGCAAGTGATCAGGAACATTTCCTTAAAAAAGAAACGAAAATCACCAAAGAAAAGAATATCCTTTGAGTGGCATATTCTTGCAAGGTTTTGAAGTGGTTAAGTTGTATGCATTTATGACACCAACATTCAGTAAAGAAGCCAACAGTTTTTCTTTAAGCCAAACAGAAAAGCGCAAGCTAAAATGGTTTGACTGTTAACTTGATTTTTTTTCTGACTTCCTTCCTTCTTTTCTTTTCTTTCTTTCTTCTTTTTTCTTTTCTTTTCCTTTTTTTTTTTTTTTTTTTTAAGTAGTCCTGGCTCTTTAGTCAACATAGAAAGCCCCAAAGGATGTGTGAGTCTTTAACCTCTAGGTGGAGGTAGTATACAACTTCACAATTACAAACAATAAAACAAAAGCTTGATTTATTCATCAACTTTTCCTATTATTGATTTACAAATCTTTTATTCGTAAAATGGTCACTGTCTTGCACAGTACTTATTTTAGACATGAGACTGATTTTACTTTGCCTGTGTTCTACAAACATGAAGTTAATTCTTAATGCTTTCCATAATATCATCTTAGTTGTCGTCTTTTCTGATTTTTATTATCAAATGGGCATCTTTAATTTATTGTCCAAATTTAGGCTATGATTTTCAAAATGTTAGAGGCCTTGAAATATAAATGATAAGAATGTTCATCTAACCAGTCCTTTTAAAAAATGTCTTTTTATATCTTTATTTCCCTTTTAATTTTTCATTTTCCTGTCAGTAGCTGTCACAGTATGCAAATATTTTTTGTAGAATTAAGAAGAACCTCTTCATAAAGGCTTATTTTTAGTTGGAAAACAGCTCCTCATTTAACATCTTAATATTGAACTTAGAAAAAGAATTTAACATATGATTAAATAACACTTTTCAGTGAAAACCTCTGTGGAACTTTACGATTATTGTAGTGATTGGTTTTGGAATTAGCTTAAGGTAACATAGAAACTTTGGATGCTGGAGTTTTGAGAAACTCATTTGCTGACATAATTTGTAAATATTTACCTGTATTTCAGTGTTTTAATATTTTCTGTGCTCTCAAGACAATATTTATTTGAAGTTGGTTACCTTTTTAGTTACTAGCTGTGTAATCATTTAAATGCAAATGGACTCTGTCAATGACCTTTTACATAGTACACCTTGATCAGACTGCTCTTTCTCATGTATAATCTTTGATTTTAAAGGAAGGAGCATACCATGGTCAGTTAGTAACCGCTGAAGGTCCTCAGTGTTTAACCATTATTTCCCTCTACTAGTTTTCTGTTCTATATTTGACCAGTAATGCTCATGCCAGTATTTTATTCTATTATATAAATGATTCTTTTTTTGGGCCAGTAATTTAAATCTCTGAATCATTCTAGGGGAAAAAAAAATGGCAGTGAAAAGGGACATTCTGTTTTATGCACCAAATTGCTGGATGTCACAGAATCAGGTCTCTGGCTTTCTGATGGAGAAATAATGGAGAAAATCACTGCCTCAAACCCTTTTCTGGTGATATTTTAAGACCATTTGTTCTCTCTGCAAATTTATCTCACACACACACACACACACACACACACACGCACACGCACACGCATGCGCACACACACACACATACACACACACATAAGTAGTGAGCATTTTAATCTTTAGGTAACCCCTATCGCTCTCCTCAGAGACCAGTCAGGAGGGGTATATCTCCAAGGCTTCCTTCACCCCTGTATGTGCCCCTGTTCCTTTCTGCTCCCCTGCATGTGCCGCCTGGCTACAGTGGAGCCTGGAACACAGCCAGTGGAGTTTCCCTGATGTCTATATTGCAGTTGGCCATTGGGTGGAGGTATACCCAAAGTAAGGAAATAATCTCTGTTTGAAAGAGAAAAACGACATACAGAAAAAAAAAAAAGGCGTTTATGAGGAAGATAGAGAAATTTTCTGCCTCCAAGGAAGCCATTTATTTTTCAATTAATATTCAAATCATTGAAGTATTATTTCAGGAGTCATTTTGGTTATTGTACCTTTTTTTAATGCAGAGTAACATTACTAGTAGTGTCTGCATGTGATCGTCTACAATCATAATATATTCTAGAGGATGGATTTTAGAAAATGAGTGCCCACATTGGGTGCTAAGTGGCAGAAACCTGAAATAAGTTTGACGTCAATCTTTCTGATAATCTAGTGTTTAGTATCCATTTTCCACAACATATTTATCTCCTCCATAGACATGCTGGTATTTATAGAAGTGACAAAAGAGAGAAAATGGGTGGCCCTAATAGCTTAGAGAGACTTAAAATTCAAATCAAGGAAGCAGAGCATGTTGGTACTTCTACAACATACATCCGTATATATATGTATATATCTATGTCTACATCAGCTTGTAAAATTATCTGTTTAGGTTGGTGCTGGCTAACATCCAAGAAGATGAGGCTAAAAATAACATTACCATCTTTACAAGAATTCTAGACAGACTTCTGGATGGGTACGATAATCGACTTAGACCAGGACTGGGAGGTAAAAGTAGTTTTACTTTTTTAAAATTCTCATACAATGATGCGTCTAAAAGTTAAGAGTAGTATACATATTTTAATACATTTTATGTATGAGTGCATGTATTAAATAACCACGGATAATTGAAAGTAAGGTATATGAAATAAACATTATTTGTGTTTCCTTTCATACACACACAATGTATTTAACGTATTTTTTGCTTAAAGTCATGTAGAACCCACCTGTTCTGCATTAAGAGTTTTTAGATTAGTTTATTTATAATGGCTAAGTTTTTCAAACTTAAAGTATATTAAAAGGAAATATTATTGGGTAGATATGCCCATGTCATATCTTCATGTTTTACAGACGCTTGTTTTCACAGTAGTACAGATAGGAAGAAATGAGGCACATGATAAAAAGTATGTCTGGGTTGTATTTCAACAAATACACAACTTAGGATTCTATGATGATACTTCTTTACGCATGCATATGGTATTTCTAAAATATAGTACAGGTTTGGCATGCTTGAAACTTCAAAGACATTTCAGATACACATTAGCTGTAGGCCTAAATTTATTGGACTGTGGCATAGTTTGATTTCAGATGTAAACATTAATTTTCAATTCAGAAAAACAAGTCAGCTTTTATCCATAAAGCTAAAGGAAATTAGGCTTGGCTAATATATTAATTTTTAAAAATATGTTAAATTTTAATTAACTTCTATTTATCCTTAGCTACATGATACTAAGGAAATTAGGTAAAGTATGATTCTGACTCAAAACATTGTTACTTGTTAATTATAATATATATGTGTATGTATAAATATATATCTGTACACACATTTCACATGTGTATGTAATACTTATTTAGATGTTTAGTTTATTAATTAAAAGTAAAGAAAAATTAGTTGAACAATTCATAAAAGATTTATATAGTTATACAGTTAGCTAGTTTATTATGAGGCTGACAACTTTGTAATATTAAATTGCTTGTAAAGATGTGTACTGACTAGATGCCTAGATGTTTATGTGAATACTTTCTTTGAAAAAAGTAGGTTATTGTTAATTCTATATATATTTGCCAGTGTATGGTTTGGATTGTCCAGGAGTCAGAAAAAGCCAGGAAAGACCCAACTTGTTGTTAAATAATACACTATTTATTGCTATTAGTTTTTCTTGGAATCCCTGAGAGGTACCTTTAAAAGGAAAAAAAAAACTAAATGGAAAATAATACTTCTTTAGTAATTAATATGTCTAATGAGCATGAATATAAGGAATCACTCTCCATGTTAGCATGTGAAAATGAACTATTGCCAAGCATAAGTCTATCCTAATTCATGATGGTGGTTTATGAGGAAGATTATGCTAAGGCAGACATTTTTTCCAAGTCATAGATTTTATTTTTTAAAGTAAATTATGCGCTGTCAAAAATCTCAATATTTGACTGAGACCTTGGGTTTTGTCTCTGTGAGTTTTTAGAAGAAATATCCACACTGTGGGTATGTGGTTGGGGAGCAGAAACTACCTGATTCAGGACATGGGTATTGCTGTTTAGCTCTTCATATTTCTTTTGTAATATCTCTTACATTCTTTTTTACTTCCACTGTCACCACTCAAACATAGATCCTTGTCACTGTATTATTGAGGTAATGCAATAGACTAAGTGGCTTTTCTTGTCTAGTGTCTTCCTCAGTCCTTCTCTGATATTGGGCACGTGCTAATATCTCCCATTCACATTACTGTTCTTTTATTCTTACAATGGTTTCCACACATCCCTGTCTTTTCTTGATCATCTTTTCTTGGCCAGATAATCTGTTTTTCATGTAAAATGGCCACAATATACCTACCTTTCTGCGTTATAGGCTTGTTGAGAGAATTCTAGAAACAAAAAGTGCTTATGAAGCTGGTGCCACATGGTAGGAATTCAACAAAGATCTAGCTCTTCCCTCCTCACTTAGATTCTTAATTTGCCAAGCAGGGTTTTCTACATTCTACTTCCTGGCTTCATTTTTATTTTTCCTCCCTTTTATCCTGCACTTCAAATGCATTTGTTCATTTTCTCTTGATAATCCATTCACATCTGTTCCCTTGGCCTTTGGTTGTATTATTTCCTCTCACTGGAAGTGTTTTTCTCATCCTCTTTGATGATCGAAACCCTTTTTCTATAAAGACCACCTCAACACTGTTCCTCGAGTAAAGATCTTTCGTAACTGAATTGAAGCACCCAGATTCAATTTTCTCTTTGTTGAATTTCTTTAGCAGTTGTCAGCTCTATATCTCATTTGGAACTTATTATGTGCTATCTTGGATTATATATTACCTTTTTGTGTGTCTCTTGTTACCTTAACAACACTGTAAGCTCTTTGAGGCAAGATATTGTATCATAAATCCTCTCTACTCTCAGCAACTAAATATTGATTTGCATATTGTGGCCATCAAATAAATGTTGATTGCTTGATTAACTTTTCTATGACCAGTTAATCATCTGTAAAATGGGGTTACTCATATTGGGCTCACCTTTAACTTAGGAATGTTGAGATAATATGTTGGGTAGTGTGCTGCGGAGAGGTAATGGGGCTTAGTGAAGACCTAACTTACGATTTTGAAGATTTAGGTACAATCCCAGCTCTTGTTGTGAGTGGTCCTATGACCTTTCAACACTTAACCTCTCTGGGTCCACATCTGTCATCTATAGAGGGTGATTACTCATCTTGTTCTTAGAGCATTTGATGAATATTAAATAGTATGATATATGCTAAGAAGCTGGCACAGTGCCGGGCATATGGTAGAGAATTAATAAATAACAGTACCTAAAAGACTTTCAGAAACTTATAAATTTACATTATTATTATGATTACTTCTGCTTCCAAAACTCTTTGCCTGCCTGTTCATATGTCATTTCACATAGAAAGTCCAAAGAAATTACTTGTGTCGTTATGTCCCAGAAATTAATAAAAAGGAGAAAATGGGTTTGATTCAATTTTAATATATCAAACAGAACATCTCTATTGATGAAAAACCTAGATAATTAATTTCAATTATTATTTTCTTTCCTTTATAACTTTAACGCAAATCAGTATATAGGAAAGCACAATCAGTTTGGACTACAAGTTAAAAAAAAATTGTTCTTTTCACTTGGCTCGACCACTTACTTGATTTTACCCTCGTCAAGTTCCTTAGACATTCTGAGCCTTGGGATTTTCCTTGGGAAAATGGCAATAATAGTTTTTTATCCTGAGAGGAGGAAGGTAAATTGAGATTCATGTATATGATAAAGATGATGCAATACATTGAGTGAAAGAGGCACTTGGGTGCTTCAGTCGGTTAAGCGTCTGGCTCTTGATTTCGACTCATGTCATGATCTTGTAGTTCATGAGATTGAGCCCCGTGTGGGGCTCTACACTGACAGAGTGGTGCCTGCTTGGGATTTACTCTCTCCCTCCCTCTCTCTCTGTCCCTTTCCTGCTCTTGCTCTCTCTCTCTCAAAATAAATAAACATGAAAAAATTTAAAAAATACATTGAGTGATAAAATGTTAAAGTATTTTATGATGAATAAGAGTCTCTTTAAAATTTGTTATATTATGCCACTCAACTGTTCAAAATTCTGCAGTCATTTCTACTTCATTCAGAGTAAAACTCGGGTTTGTTGTGGTCATCTCCACAGCCGTGCATGATCTGTCTCCTTATTCTTTCTTTGACCTCGCACAACTCACCCTCTTGCTAACCCTGCTGCAGTCACATTGGCTTCCTTTCTGTTCTTTGAACACACCAGGGTACTCTTTGGAGCTTTTCCTCTGGCTGCTCCCTCTTCCCTGGATATCTTTTGATCTCTTCTTCTCAATGAAACCTACCCTGACCAAACAAATAAATACCAGAACCTGGCTACCTCTTAATAATCTCCCTTACCCAGCTTCATTTTCTATTTCCTCAACACTTACTATATTTTGATATATAAAGTAATTTATTTCTTTATTACTTTCATGGAAATTGCTTATTTTTGGCTCTTTTGCTAGAATGTAGGCTCATTGAGGTCAGGGATTTTTGTCAGTTTTGTTGCTTGATTCACTGGTGCGTCATCTATCCCAGCATCTAGAACAGGACCTGGCATATGGTAAGCACTGAAATATTTTTTGAAGGATTTTAATTTTATTCATGTATTTTATTATTATTATTTTTTACTGTGCTACCATGAAAAGAATCAACTATAGAACTTACCTTATCCTTAAAATCAGTGGAACAGTTATCACTTAATTTACACAGTGACCTTCCACTATTAGCATCAGCATATTTTGGGATGACATCTTGGTGAATTAGAGCTATTATAACCCCAGTTACTCAATCCTGACTCCTGTTCGTTGTGATTCTGCCTTTGAACTGTGCGATTTGGGGTGATTCATTTATCCCATATGCGACTTAATTTACTCATCTGTGAAAAGGGAAGTGAGGATCCACCTATTCTGTTTACATCTCACAAGGATATGATGTGGTTCGGGTAAATGAAAATTCTTAAGAGAACATAATGTGACATACAATTGATAAGTGTTAGTCTTGTTGGGAGTACAGGGAGAATTCTTCAAGAAAAACATCTTAGGAGGTAGTGTTCTTTGAAAACACGCCAAGAAAATGTTGCTAGGTCTTGTGCATTTGGTAGGCTTAATTCTTTGTGAGTCTGGAAACCTGAGATGGGTTTGCCTTGACATCTTATCTACTGACACCATACATTGAGATTAGCTAGAACTAATAACTGAATCAGTTTTTCCTCTTGTCTTCATTTTAGTCATCAGAGCTAACAACTTGGAGTATCGCACCCCAGTATGGATTTTTATATTCTATAAGCTTTCAAATTGTTAACTAAATAAAAAGAACAGCATTTGTTTTTTGGGCCAATTTTTATGGGGTCATTGGAAAGATGAATGTGTAGACAGGCCTGGTACATTTATGACAGCTAGCATCCACAATGCTCAACAGTGACAACTATTAGAAATGACAAGGCTTGGTATCTAAATTATAGATTCAATCTGGAA